TCACTTTGGGAAGGACCAATATGCTATACTTAAGAGCTGAACTTTGTATTAAAGGCAACAGAAAAGCCACTGAACAGTTTTACATGAGAGAGTTGTAACTAGATTTGTTTTATTTTAAATAACAGTATGTAGGGCAAATTAAAGGAGTGAAAGCTTGGAGAAGTTAAAAACACAGGCCTAACCCTTAATAGTGCAAAAACTCTGATGATGCAAATAGTGTGAAAACTGATGATGCAAAGAGGAATTCTTTTTTTTCTGATGTCATTTGAAACAACAAAAAGGACTACACTGGGTGAAGTTGAATAACCGTATCCTAAGCAAGTGAGTGAAAATAGTGTCTTAAAGACTATTTTTTTTTGTCGTCTTGAGACAGGGTTTCGTTATGCAATTCAGGTTGGCCTTGAACTCATTTTGTAGCCCACTTTGGCCTTGAACTCTTGGTCTTTCTGAGAAAGGGTTTCACTATGTAGTTCAGGCTGGCTTTGAGCTCATTTTGTTGACCAGGCTATTCTCAAAACTGCAAGGATCCTTCTGCCTCAGCCTCTCACGTGCTAGGATTACAGGCATACGCCACCACGCCCAGAAGACTAGAGGGCAGGAGGATCACTGCGAGTTCGAGACTAACCTGGGCTACAAAGTAAGCTCAAGGCCAGCCTGAACTGCACAGCAAGACCCTGTCTCAAAAAGACAAACAAACAAACAAAAAAAGACTAGAGATTTTTAATCACTGTTTCACGTTAAGATGCTTTCTGAAATCCAGGTAGCAAGATCTCCTAGATCCTGGAAATATCAGACTGTAATTCAGAAGAGAAGTGAGATGTAAGTAAAAGAAAAACATGAAGTTAAATATTTTGTACTTATGAGTCTACTACAAGAGACTCACACCTCTTATTAAAGTAACTGATGTCAACAGGCAGCAAAACGTAAGTGTGAATTGTGCTTCTGAATTGTATGTCTTAGCAAAGTAAACTTTCCGACTGAATGGTGCCCATGTGAACTATGGATCACTGTTATACTGTTAGATATAACTTTTAGTCTAATTAATAATTGAGCGTATTATCTATCTCATGCACTCATAAAATTTACTTGCCAAGTACACAATTTGTTTCATATATACACAGTGATTTATTAAGACATTTAAAATACATACACACACAGAGACATAATTCACATTTCATTGGAAGTGAAGCCAGATTTTTTAGAGATTTATATAAAGCAGAAAAACATATGGAAGTTTCCTAATGAAAGCCAGTAGTACTAATGACTATTAATAAGTTATCATTAGTGTAGCCTTGCGTTTATAGACCCCCTCAAATACATACTGTTCTCTATACAAACCTATCCAAGTAGACGGAAGCTGGAGCAATAATAATAGTAACTATAATAACATACCATAAATTCCAAGGAACTTATTTACTATTCTTTAGTCTTCACCAACTCCTTCCCAAACCCCAAATGTAAAATAAATGAGATCTTTGACTTCATTGAAAATTAATATTTAAAAGTGGAGTCTTCCTGATACTGGACTAGATCACTGCCCACTGAGTTTTCTGAAATTCTTTAAAATGGAGAAGATACAGACCAAAGAAACTGAACGCTATTTGAGTATAAAAAAACATCCAATCTGGTCTAAATCTGTAAAGTGGGTGCCACAGATAGTTGAAAATAATTATACAAAATTTAAGTCCTGAGGAAAAGTCCAATACAATTTTTAAACTGTTCTGAGTCTAACCATTTGTTACATGAATCCTGTAAAACATTGAAACTGTTAATATTAATTTTGCCTTTGTAAATCCTTTTTGTTTCAAATTTCACCTAAATAGGACAACCATCAAAGTTCAATTCTTAGATAATTCCCTGAATTTCGTATTTAAAAAGTACATTATCTATTGCATTTAAGATGCTTTACTTATTTAAAGGGGGGGCCATAAATTAAAAATTTTGTCATTTGTTTCTTATAGAGATTAAAGCCTCAATCCCAGGGGCATCACAGGAAATTTTCTGAAAGGCACATTCTGATGGATATATAATGCCCACATTTATTTTTTCGAAGTATTTCTACTAATGAATTATTAATTTTAATTTTATGAATTTTAAACGATGTATACTTAACAAGAAAATATTAATATTGTTTTTAATATGTAATGAGTGTTTACAATAAACATCATATTTTCAACATCAACTGTTTGCTTACTAAATCTAAAAAGTAATAGCAGAAATAAACTCCTATGTGAGCTACAATGAAAATACAAATAGAACTCTACCACAAAAATAATCTTTAAAGCCGGGCATGGTGGCACATGCCTGTAATCTCAGCCTATAATCCCAGCACTCAGGAGGATTGTTACAAGTTTGAGACCAGCCTGGGCTACAAAGTGAGCTCAAGGCCAGCCTGAACTGCACAGTGAGACCCTGTCTCAAAAAAAAAACTTTACTTCAATTATGACACCTAAGACAGTTTTCTCACGAGAACAGCATGTTCCACACACAAATACCAATCCCCATAGCATGTGTTTTGTTTTCCTGTCTTCTTTGGTAGGACGTACTTGACATCTTGCTGGTCTTCCTGTTTCTTATGAGGGTCTTATGATGTTTCACTTGTTTCTTCACCAGTCTGCTCCAGAACTTTCTGCAGAATTCTTCGAGCAGATACATACTGCTCTTCCTCTGCTGTAATAATTTATCAATTCCAGTCCCAATCTTCTAATAAAATTTCTCGAGGATATTTTGTGCTTGTTATTGTCTTTGTAAATTATGAAACTAATTATGCCTGGCACGTTTAGGGTCAAGTAAGACACAATCATTGGCCAACGCTTTGTGTTTCAAGTAACATCATAGTCGCTGCAGAACTCATCAACATTTACTTTCATTTTTTTGTAAAATGTCATTTCTCACTTCTATTTTTTTGTTTCTTTGAAGACAGGGTCTCACTATGTAGTCCAGACTGGCCTTGAACTCACTGTGTAGCACAGGCTGACCTTCACCTCACAGGATCCTTCTGCTTCAGCCTCCTGAGTGCTGGGATTACAGGTGTGCACTATTATGTCTAGCTTCACTATCAATCTTATCATCACGGTGTAACATTGATAGTATCAGTATCACTTTGGTGTTCTTCGCCATATAGGAGGCCAATGCTAAGTCTTTGTGAAATCTAAAGACTGTACTATATATCCTCTTCTGTGAACTTGCAACACTTTTTCAGGAATCTCAGCTTTGTTCTTGCAAACAGTTCCTGGGCTGGTCAAGTGGTATTCTTTCAGCAAATGTAACAGCAATGAATAACTAGTAAGCCAATTGTCAGAGGTGACATCTGGATTACTTTTTAGTGGTTTTTTTGATTTTGGGGGGGTTACTTTTTGAAATAGGTGCAACAAGTCCATTCACAAAGTCGTATGGTTTATTACTGCACAAAGAGAAATCGCGTAGCTGAGTTCCAGGATGAACTTCTGAATTCAAGGTGTAAAATGTCTTCACATCTATCAGGGCATATATATTTCTACCATCTTTGGAAGACTTACTTGGCATATATTGCCAAAAACTTCAACAAGCACAAAATGATGCAAGTTGTTCATAAGTTGTCATATATTCAGACAGTAAACTGCTCAGTAGTTCAAAACAAAGCTTTCAAAAAGTGAGCAAATAGGAGCAAATTGTCAGATTTTTTTCTTTTGGAAGGTTCTTTTTGTTGTCAAAATGTAGGCAATTTTAAAGGAAACCAAATCTCTTGAAAGTCACTATTCTAAAAACCTCAACACAAGCTGAGTGTGGTGGTGCATGCCTGTAATCCCAACACTCGGGAAGCTGAGGCAGGAGGAATATTGCAAGTTCGAGGCCAATCCTAGGCTGCAAAGTGAGCTCAAGGCCAGCCTGAACTGCAGAGCAAGATCCTGTCTCAGAAAGAAGACCAAAAAAACCCAAAAAACAACAAAAAAACCCCACCTCAATGCCTCATCTGTCACTTCTCCATAAATCCGTTTTTAGACTCAGGATTAAAATGATAAAGCCCTGCCGCAAAGGCTTTCAGATCCTGTGGGTGTGTGTCGTGATAAACACATTGTTGAGAACGCTACTGATGCATATAGAAATGTTTTACTTGTATTTCATTACTAGCGTTTCTCAAAACATCCTGTAGCATATCACCCATTACAAACCATTTCAACACTGAATCACAGTATTGGCTTTCCATCCAATAGGTTTCACTCCTGGCAAGGACCTAGTAACATCTTCGGAACTAGTTCTAATGTTGGATCATTCAGGTATACACGACAATTTTGTAGCATCTTGACTAAACACTTATTTACATTACTATTTTCTTCCTCATCTGAATCAAGGTCTCCATTCTGTACTTTTGTCCTATCTTGCTAACTTCTTTGGCTTATATGATCCAAGTCATCCTTAGCCATCCTTAGCCCATCCAGTAGCCATCTGATCACACCCACTTTCAACCTCCTCCCAAAGCTGTAAAAGTAAATTTTCATGTGATATTACATTGAATTGGGCTAATTCTACAAGAAAAATCACAAGAAAACATTTAATAAAAAAAATTGTAAGTATACAAAAATGTAACAGTGCATAAAACTCACCTCTTCACACTTTGATACACATGTATACACCTTGCTGTTCGTCATAACAAGTAGGTGCACACAAAGACTGCTTCATGTATTCCCCCAGCACAGTTACTAAGATGCACAGCCAGCTACTGTTACACTGAAGTACATATTCTCCTTAGAAAAGTATGATATGGGTGTCTGCTATCCTGAGTAAGGAATGGAGTTACAAATGAACAGCTTCTTGTTTCTTTTAGTATTTTCAAACAAGTTGAAATGAGTTAGAAAAAAAAAAAAAGGAATATTGTACTTACTTGAACCTGGCAGGTGAAAGAGGAGTAGGAGGAAACATTCCCGGCTCAAAAGAATCAAAGTAAGTCACTGTCCAAGAAAAGCTACAACAGGAAAACCCAGCAGTTAGGGATATTATAAGCAGAGTCCAGAATCCTTAATGAGAAAAGAAAGAGAAAAGGTATTAACACTAGAACAATTTAAACTAGTGTCTTCATGTTCAGAAGATCATGGGTATTTCTGGTCCTCTGAATTATATGTAACCCATATTACAATAACAAATTTAAGCTTAGTACAAACTAACTTTGACTTACAGAAGTATAAACTATTGAAGCACAATTAGAAGTCACATCATTGAATATTTTAATTAAATTGTAGTATGTGGAAAGGAAATTCAATTTAAGAATATTTTCAGTTTTATAAAATGCAACTACAGATAAAATGTTTAAACCTTTCTTAAGGTATCTTGACATGTTTCATTTCATGAATCATGTTACTGTCTTTTACTATTTAGCGCTAAGAGATTCCTTTCATTCTACATCATAGGACATCTATAGAGCACCTCCTCTTCAGTTTTCATAAACTTAATCTAATTCCTTCTTTTGTATGTAGCACTGATTCTAGGGCCTTGCGCATGGAAGCAAGTACTGTACACTGAGCTACATCCCCAGTATTTTCTATTCTGAGACAGGGGAAAACCTAATTGCCTAGGCTGGCCTGGAACTCTGGATGCTCCCAAGTAACTGGGATTATAGGTGTGTACCACTAAACTCAGCCCCTCATCTTCTGTTTCTTTAGCTTTGCTCTGCAGTCCCAATTTACCAGTGAGTTGGGATCTCAGACCCTACCTGTAGTCATTTTGAACCTGTGTTTTCCTACAGAAATCAAATCAAAAGCATGGGATTTTTTGGGTTTTTTTGTACCAGGAACTGAACTCAAGACCTCACGCTTGCCAGGCAGGCACTTATGCCACTGAGCTATACGCCCGGTCAAAAGTATGGCATTATAGTGAACTCAAAGGAAGGGTTGAGAAGCGAAAGAAGAGGAAGTATAAATGAAGTAATGACCAAGAATAAATTAATTTGAAGATTTTCAGCTACTACTCATAGTACAGTTTAAGATATTAAAGGGTATTAGAAAGACAATGACCTCTGTTATGGTTTAGATCTGAAGTGTCCCCCAAAGCTTCATGAGGCTTCTGCCTGGGAGTCAGCCTATGATAGATTAAAGAGTGAGCCAAAATAAATCCTCTTTCAAAAGTTGTGGGTGTTGGTTCTGTTTCAGCAACAAAGTGACTAAGATAACTTCTGAGAATCCAACTCCATGGCCGATGGCCTACTATCTTTAGAAGGAGTACAGTAGTTTTATTTTAATGACAAGTTTCCAAACTTCATTTATTCACTTACTAAACATACACTGAGCAACGTCTATGTGCTTGTTACTATGTCACATGACAGGCACAGAACAGTAAACAAAATAGGAACCACCAATGTCTTCACGGAGTAATTCTGGTAAAAAGAAAATAAATGTAAAAAAGTAAGTAACAGCAGATTGTGATAATTGTTTTTGAATAAACAAGATGCTATTCTTCTAAGGAAGTAACATCAGAATTCTAATTGAGAGTATGAATAGTTTTTACTTGGATAGGAAATAGCTAACTCTAAAGTTCACATGATAAACAGTAGTCAAAAGAAGACTAATCCTATTTGATACTGAAGTATACCGCAGGACCCTAATATTTGAAAATAGTTGGTATAGTACTGATAAATGAATAGATTCTCCCAGCCCCTAAAAAAGGGGAATACAGAGTTTAGAAGAAAGGCCAAATAGAATCGATTATAGCCAGGTTTGGTGAGGCACATCTGTAATCCCAGTACTTTGGGGAGACTGAAGCATTAACCACTATCAAGAATCTATCTCAAAATAAAAAGTAAAAAGGAATGGGGTTGCGGGTATAGCTCTATGTGAAAGCCTTAGGTTCAAACTCCAGTACAGGAAAAAAAATTTTTTCATTCAGTGAAGCAATCACAGAACAGGAAAATAAAGCTGCATTCATATACTACAGTCTGTATCATGCTAAATTGTAGAACAAACCAATTACCTAAATACACAGGTCACTAATTCTAAAACACTTACGATCTAAATATAAAGGTGTAGGAGCCCTTCCCTCGCAAAAAGGTGTAGATGGACTCACTGGCCAGAAATCATTTTAAGACTTTCCCAGAGAAGATTCTTTTTATCCATAATACAAAATTCATGAGCTATGTTAAGTTCCACAAATCCAACAGATGAACATGTACACACACACACAAAACTAAATTTACACAGCAAAAATTAAATGTCAAATAGAAAGTGTTTTAAATAAAAATTTGCAATTTACAGCACAAATTACCATTAGGTATCATTTTTACCATCAAGTTTGATAACATTTTCTAATACTGAGTCTGTGAGTAAACAAACTTATGCACTGCTATTGAGGGAGTGAACTGGTAAGCCTTCATGGAGAGCCATCTGGCAGTTATTTGTGGAAATGACCCATACACATATCCTTTCCACATATACACCCACATATAAAATATATACAGCATTATTCTCTATACCATACCATTATTTATAATGATAAAAATTGGAAACAACCTAAACATTTGATCAGGAATGAAGATGCAGCAGCTCCCCTTTATCTATAAGTCATACATTCCAAGACCCCCAGTGAATACCTCAAACTTCAAACAGTATATATATACATATATATATATGTACCACTGTAAGTCCTGCATCTCTTTCACATTTAACTTCTAAATTAGGCAGAGTGAGCACTGTCAATAAAGTAGAACAGTTACAACAGTTACTATAACAAGTTATGTGAATGTGGTCTTGTGTCAGTAATGCTGCACCAGTTGATATGGTAGCTAAGATGACTACTTAGTGGGTGAATAGCACATATACTGTGGATGTACGGCACAAAGGAATGACTCATGTCTCAAGATTTAAAACAATGCCCAATTTGCAACTGCACGTGAGGGGATGCTACTATATTATCATGGTTAGTTAAGTGTATCCATATACAACTGTAAAAAACAGTAAAGAAACAATTTACTGTATGGAAAGATCTCCAAGATACACTGGTGAACCATGAGATGAAAGTTTAGAACTACAATACACTTGCACAAAAAAGAAAAAAATTAATGTATCATAGATACATATGTGCATATATTATATATGAAAACATGAATAAACTTACGTATTAATGAAAGTATCTGAAAGGATTTAGAATTTAACATTGATCTTCTGTAAGAAGAAATCATCAGTTTGGTTGCGGAGCAGAAGGCTTTTGTTTTTTAAATTTTAACTAAAAAAAGAACTTAGGCAGAAAAGTAAAATTATAAAAAATAATCTATTAAGGCAGTCCTTGAATAGGGGATGGCCAGGGAAGTTATATCTGATTTATGTGAAATTATATTCAAACTGTCTCAAGTTTACTAAGCTACAACTGCTAAAGTGTATGTCCTATATTTCCAGAGTATTGGGAGAAGGGAAAGGTTCAGAACACCAAATTAACTTTAATTTTAGCAAAAAACTGCACTGTACTATATCAGTAAACATGGGAAGCTCAGTAATAGACTGATAAAATGCTCAAATGCAAACTCAAAATGTGTGGTGAAGTATTTTTGAAGATTAACCTAATGTTTTCTTGTTAGCTCCCCTCCCCTCCTGCACCCCTTCAGAGACACCTGGCTCTGTGTCATTGCCCCAGAAGAGGAATGTGGCAAAGCAGAAAGAAGAAATAACTCAAGTGTCTCTCCGGCTTCTATGTTGCAAAATAATTACGAAAACGAGTACAGATATAACCAGAGGTAGAGGGTAGAAGGGTAAAAATTCAAAGGTCTTGAATAGACCGTTGAATAGAAGAGCTAAAACAGTGTCTTGAATAGACCTTTGAATAGAAGAGCTAAAATAGTCAGTTGACTGGGTTACAGGTGAAATGTTTGGGTAGAACAGAAAAAAGAGTGAGACTTCTATAAAGGTGAAAAAAAAGTTCCTTGTTTGAAGAAACGCTCTGTGCGCTTATGCTTAGATGAATGTACGGGAGGGGGTGCTGTTGCTGAGGCTGCCTGGCAAAGCCATCTAGAAGAGGCCACACTACACAGGAGTGTGAATGTGTGTAATACCTTGGCAGGTGGGTCCAGGCACCAGTGTGCACTTCTGCCCTAGTCAGGGCACAGAAACAGAAGATGGCCCTGTGGCTGGAAGCGCTACAAAGGTTTTCCTGACTAAGCTGAAAGATGTTTCAACATTAACTCACTTTAGCAAATGTCTTGGCAGACTAGAATGCACCACCATCCCATCAGCTCAACCGACGACTGGATGGTCAGAGTATCTCAATAAAAGCAGAGGTACAACCTTCTTGCAACCCAATGAGATCAAAACAAAATGAGATCAAAAATGAGATCAAAACAAAAATAACAAGGTTTGGTGCACACTTGTGATTTATGGGTGGCTACCTGCCAAATAGCTGTTACCTGCTGTTTAGATGCATAGCTCTCAAGAAGGACTAAGCAACAGGATTACTCTAATTTAAATTAGAACAGCCACCAGAACAGAGATGGTAATAAACCCACAAAAAATTGAGTATTTGTGTTTGGGAACTAAATAATAAGCCTTCAAAGTATCGGGAAAAAAAGAACAAAAAAACCCCCCCAAAAGCCAAAGCAAGCAAAGACACAAAATAACATTTTAAAATAATATGAGGCTCTCTAAAGCCAATCAAGCCTTTTCATTCAGGTATTTTAAAAGGGTACCACCTGCCAAGTTTTAAAAGAAAGAGTACTGTATTGTTAGATTTTCCAGAAATGACTACCATTACACATTCTCAGTAATGCCTCACATTAGACATTTCAATTATTTTATTTTTAAACTAAGCAAAAACTGCATCATTGATAAGCCGTGCCACAATAATAACCCTAAAAAGAGTACATTGTAACCCTGTGGTCTAGTAGTGCTTGTAATTCTGGAAATTACTCAACTCCTAAATGAACAAGCAGAAAAGCCACAATAGTTAACAGTCAACAACAGAAATTTGTTACAAGTCATTATCTTTAGAATTCCCAAGATCAAAATTTTGTAACTGATGGTGTATAAACCTTTTTACTAAGAATTTACTAAGATTATAGAAGTTTCTGAGAACATATAAAAATGAAGTTAGTCATTCAGCTTAGAATTTCATTCCTAAGAACAATCAGCTATGAGTTTGTTACGCATCTTTCCAAAAACAGAGACCTATGTAATGTAAGTAATGTGGAACTAGTGACAAAATATATTTTCTCAGTATATTTTCCACAAGTGAGATTCTTGCCTGAAAAGGTGTTCCGCACCTTGCCTTTTCACTTAATATTATATACTGGACACCCTTATCACTTGTACCTTATTATTCTAGTATTCACCTTTTTAAAATGTGTAACATTCTTGTACCTAAGCAGGAAAACTTTATCTAAGACCGTAGTTACACACGAGTTTGAAATAAAATGTCATAGTGCCATATAGAGATCATGTTGAGACTATGGAATGGTTTCCGTCCTCCTAAAAAGCTTCTGTGCTGGGCATGGTGATGTGGCTATACTTCCAAGTTACTCAGGAGGATGAAGCAGGAGGATTGCTTGAGCCCAAGAGGTTTTCGGTTTTTTTGTTGTTGTTGTGGTACCGGGGATCGAACTCACGACCTTGCACTTGCCAGGAAGGTGCTTAGGCCACTGAGCTATATCCCCAGCGCCAAGCCCAAGAGTTTAAAATCAGCATGAGCAACATGGCCAAACTTTGCCTCAAAATAAACTAAAAAATAAGCACCTAAACCTGATGTCTTTGGTGCCTGTCATTTTTAACATCCCTTCTTTGGCAAGGACCAGATTCATAGCATCTTGCAATATCAAGGGCTATTCTTGTTTTTGAACTATTCATTTAGATTATATTATGACTGTGATGCTTCCAGGACACTGTACATTTATAGAGAAGAAAATGACTGACACTCAAGAGTTAAAAGAGGGTGCCGGGGCTGGGGATGTGGCTCAGTGGCAGAGTTCCTGCCTTGCATGTAGAAGGCCCTTCACCCTCCTGAGTAACTTGGAAGTACAGGCACATTACCAGGCCCAGCACAGACCCCCTCCACATATATACCCCAAAGATGGTGCTAAGTCATTTGAAGAGTATATCAACGTCCTTCAAAGCAATGAGACGCGTACTGTATGACTACTTCATCTAGAACACTAGAAACACAGTAATAATTACCAAGAGAAAGCATGTGTTGGAGGTGACCCATTCTTAGAAAGTTCATAAAAACTCCATTTCTTCCTTACAGTGAATAATCAAAACCCTGAACTTGCCTTTTGTGTGTCCTGTGGTGCTGAAGAATGAACCCAGGGCCCTGATACTAAGGTATATCCCCAAACCCTTCACCAAGTTGTCCAGGCTAGGCTCTAACTTGCAGATCTCCTGCCTCAGCCTCAGAGTGCTGGGATTAAGGCCAGCCGCATAAGGCCTGCCCTGACCATTTTTTTTTTTCTTTGAGATAGGTTATCTATATAGTTCAGGCTAGCTTACTTAAGCTTCAGCTTAAGCTCACTATGTAGCCCAGGCCGGCCTCAAACTCTCACAGCAGTCCTCCTGCCTCAGCCTCCTTGTGGGAATCAACACTGAAAATAAGGATATAAAGCACTTCGTGTTTAGGCTGTACATGACCCCCTGAAGGGTCAGCTCAGGACTCTGCAGATGGAGTACGGCATGAGTTGGAGGAGGCCATAGCCTTGCCGCTGTAAGACGCAGGTGCTGCTCCCAATCTCATCAGCTCAGGCCTATCAGGACATTCCCAATGTCCCCAGTTCTCTTCAGGCATAGAAGGCAGAATATCCCTTTAATAAACAGAGTTGCCATCAGCCCTCTCATGTCACGAGTCTTCTCTCATCGTGTGACACTAGTCATCAGAGATCAGACCAACACTAGTAACTGGGGAACCACACTCCTGAGTGCGGGGATTACAGGCATGCGCCACCACACACGGCCCTGACCTTGGCTTTTCTAACCAGTATCTTTAACTTGATTCCACAATCTATTAGGAAAAGTGATACAGCACTACCTACAGTCAGGGAGGGTGCTTTTGGTAAAAATTTACAAATATGATAGATACCCTATTCTACAGCACAGTTTGTGTAAAACTGTTTATGTGGCCTGATCATCATTAAAAGTACAACTAAAAGAGAAGGTCATTTTGTTATACTATCCACTGCTGGAAACGGCACTAAGTTTGTGAAACAAAAAATGAGATCAACATAAAGACCAATGTGCAAAAATTAAACAACTCAGCACTGTATATGATTCATACAATGCATTCACATATACATTGCATCTGAGACTTGTCTTCAAGAGGAATGTCTGAAGTGCAATATTAACTAAGTTAAGGTTTTAAATTTATTCTCCTTCAAAAAAAATAGGCTAATCTTCAGGGATTGTTTGCATGACAATTACACAAAGAGCCCAAACTTTAAAAATTCTGTAGTGTAATTGTACTGTTACCCAGGGAAGATTACAGAAGGTAAGTTCCCAAACCAGCTCATAATATCAGCCATACACCCATGGCTACATAACCTCACCAGTAAAGATGTACACGATTACAGCCTCATCCTGTTAGCCAACAAAAATCAATTAAATTCCAAATGCTCTGATGCCAAGTCATCACGAACCTGTTTTGTTTGTTTTGTTTTGTTTTTTAAAGAAAACTATCCACAGAGCTTCCCAGGAGGCATTCTTTTAGATAAAGATGACCAAAGCAGGGTATCAATTCCTTTGAAGTTAGGTTTCTTAACAGACCCTTTGGACTTACAATGTTTTTTGTTCATATATGACTTGTTACTTTTCTCATTGCTGAGACAAAATACCCAAAAACCAAAGTTAAAAGAGGAGAGGTTTATTTGGCTCACAGTTTGCTGAGGTTTCAGTTCACGGGTGGTTGGCTCCAAGGCAGGGTGGAATGGCAGAGGGGCACTGCAGAGGAGAAAGCCTGTGGCAGGCAGAGGCAGCAAAACCATAAGAAATCTATTGTTGAAGTTACCTATTAGGTTAAAAAATAGGATATAAGGATTAGGATCCTTATATCCTATTTTTTAGGATTTAAAAGCAGCCAGCAGCTAGCAACAAGGGACAAATTCCTTCTGTCTCTTTATATGGTATCCAGGATACCTGCCCTTAGGGCGGGTAGCACTCATGCCCACAGTGGGGCACCCTTAAACCTACCCAGAACGGTGCCAAACCCATCAGTGGACGAATTTAGTGATCACACACTCCAGATTCAGCCACCTCTGAAAAAGCCCCACCTATGACTGCATGAGGCTTTGGGGGACATCTAGACAGCCATAACAATCTGCTAACAGTCACTCCTCCAGCATTTCATCACTCTTGAATACATTTTTTAGAAAACTAGTTCAGGCCTTCAGAAGTGTATCTCCAACTGCCCCTTCAACTGCTACATCAGTGTCATTTGTTCTTGAGCCTCACCCTGGACAGAATCAAAATCTACAGAGATACTTTTGGACTAAGGTTAAATTGCAATGCAAAAATTTGCAACACATAAAGTTTTTATCAGGATAAAAAGATCATTATTATGACAGAGAACTTATTTTTTTCTAAAAATCAACTTATGTCCAAGGAACTGAGGCAATCTGCAGTAAAAGGAGTCCCTGAAATGTTAAAGTAACAGCATCAAGGCAACATTCTGCCAAAAAATGCATAAAAGTATCTCATCCAGCTGAGGGTTCCAGCAAACAGGCAAAATAAGTATAAGCAAATACAATGAAGTTATTGCTGTATGATAAGCGTATGTATCATTTTTTAACCTAATAGGTAACTTCAACAATAGATTTCTTATTAGGGACTTGGGCTGTTTCTTCATATGAAAACTTTTCTATCTATTATAGAAAGAGTAGGCTATAATTTCACAGGCATGTCTTCAAGGTAAGCTAAAAAGCAATCAAGTTAGGGTTGTCAAAGTTTTAGAGAACTGACCAATCTTTTCAACTATCCAGTCTTAAGATTTTTAACCAGAGACTAGCAATTAAAAAAAAAATTCTGTAAAGAAGCCAACTTGTACTTTCCTCCCAAACAGGAAGGAATTTCAGTTTAGAACAATGTAAGAGCGAGTGTTAGCACAATCACTTCAACCTTACCAGAGTTTAATCATCTTAGCACTGTATCTCTGAAATAGATTTTTAAGAATACTATTGTGGTAGAGAAGACTGTTTGATATCCACATGATGTAAGTGATACATGTACTGGAACAATGCTTGCTTTAAAATTAATCCCCAGGAATATGATTGAATTAGCCTATCAGGTGATGTCGGTTGTATCTACTCTCCACATGATCACTCTCTCTACGTAAGTACGTATCAGCACAGCTGCTGTTCAGACTTTTTGTGTCATAAAAACATGAAAGTTTTGCTCATTCTTGAATCCTGATAATAAATTCATGTCAGGATCAAAGACTTAGATACTGATCTTCCTATTTGCTCTCACAGTATTAAATATCTACTGCACATACCTAACAGCAATGTAAATTATCTACCTGGATTGGAAAAGACAGAAAGTGGCAAAAGTTCCATTATACTTTTTTATATTGAGCAAGCCATTTCTTCAGATACTGCCAAGCATAATTACACATGCTTATAACCCCAGTTACTGTACTCAGGAAGCTGAGCAGGATCTCTAGTTTGAGGTCAGCCTGAGCACCTTTGTGAAATTCTGTCTCAAAAGAAAATGAAAAAGGTGGGGAAAGCAGCTCAATGATAGAATACTTGCCTAGCAGGTAGGAGCTGGGTTCAATCCCAGCACTGCAAAAAAGTTAAAAAAAGAACTGCCATTTAATTTATAAATATGAAACCAAGCCTATTTTTAAATAGCAACACATTAGGATTCATGCCTAGTTCTTATGAATTTTTTTCCATTGTACTAAGAGAGGATATTGTACCCTAGGCTGGCTTTGAACTCGCAAGGACCCTCCTGCCTCAGCTTCCCGAGTGCTGGGATTACAGGGGAGTGCTGGGATTACAGGGGAGTGCTGGGATTACAGGGGAGTGCTGGGATTACAGGGGAGTGCTGGGATTACAGGTGTGCACCACCACATCCGGCAGTCCTGGCTATTGTGTAGAAATGAAAACAGTATAACAAAAGTGATAAAATGAGTAAGAAATATGTGTTTTCACATGCAAGAAGTTAAGAACAACACAACACAGAAAAAAATTCCACAGGGTATATAGCAAACTAATTTCATGATTTGAAGACAGCGGTTACCCCTTGTGCAAGACCAACGAGACTATACTTAGCGTTAGCTTTAGAAAGGTAGGCCGGAGTTCAGCAAAGATTTGAGAGTAATCAAATTATTTGATTATTCTAGATAGGCATCTCTAGCTACAGTAATCAAATTCTTTGGTTATCAAATCAAATGATTTACAGCAAACAGTAAAATACATAGGTAAAGTTCTGAATCCTCCAAGATCAATCTGACAGTAGGAAATACAGCATGAAGACCTTTTCCACTGGAAACTTGGAAACTATAGCATTCTGGACACTGAAGAAACTCCCGTTTGACCCTCCTACTCATCAATCCTTACAAGTATGGTCAATGATTCCTGAATTTTTTTTAAAAAGAAGTTGCTTATAAAACTATTTGAACTTAAATTTCTCCTGAGATTTGTGTACACTAGTAATACGGGTTATTGTGAAGTTTTTCTGTTTTTAAATTCCTTAAAAGAAGTCTGGAAAGGCTCTATCAGCAGGTAACTAGAAAATCCCCCGTAAGTGAAGGATCTGAATCATACACAGTTCTGTTCAAAATCTTTATAAAGTTACAGCACATCCATAATACATACATTTACATACCACAAGTATGTATATAAGAAATCTAACCACACACATGCAAATGAGAAACATGACTAAATCAACTGCAGATAGAAATACAGTACTTTATTCCAAGGTCTGTACACTTTAAATATAATTTGGAAAAACAAAAATTAGTTTAAAATTAAATCAAGTGATAAGTTCATACCTAACAGCCCAGTATCTACATCTTCAGTTTTCAAATTCTCAGCATGCAACTCTGCAAACAGAAAGAAAGGTTTAGGTAGAAAAGAAAGATCACTTTATAATTTGAAGAGTAACTCCATGACCACTGTATAAAATGCTTTGGAGTTGCACTGGGGTCAAATTCTAACTTGATTTACTAGCTACATGACCTTCAGCAAGCAAGTAAGTTCTTTGACTTGAAGACATCTTTGGTGATACAAACTTAAGAACATAGTACCTTTTGAGTTCAGTTCCTTTCTCCATTCTCCAAAATATTATCAATGTCTTGTGCAATGAACTTCCATTAAGCTGGTTATGTGACTTTATAATACAAACATGACCTCTCAGCCAAGAGTAATAAATTCTCCACATAACATAACTATCAAGTTGCAGAGAGGAAAAAAGAGGTCAGGAGTAACAGAGAATTGGCAATGGCAGCCAAACATTTCAGATTTACACTTTACATGGAATAAACGTTAACGTGCCAATCTGTCTTCTTTATGAAAATTAAGTATGGTGTGCTGTTAGAGGCCAGCTGCAGCCCTGTGGGGCTGAGAAAAATTTAAAAATGGATTAATTAGATTTAATTTTTATTAGTAAAGTAACACTAATATGTGAGGGACCAAGTACTGAGTGTTTTTTACACAAAGTTTATTCCCCTCTTGTCGCTTTTTCTTTTTCAGGATTTAGCCAAGGTGACTCACTAATGAGAACTGAACGTTCCACTGTAATAAACATCCAATCACACAATACATCCATGCAAGCCTTAGAAAAACTTTCACGACACCCCTATTTTTTTCCAATTTGGCCAACGTTTCAAGTTCAGACACAAGACAATGAAATTAGTGCAATACAGCTGCACGTTACACCTAGTTACAAATAATACAAAACTGAGAAGCTAGCCTTGAAAGTAGACATCTGGACTGGGGGACAGGAATCCTCGTTCTTCAATTCTTAGTATATCGGTGAATAAGGGGACAGCACGCTTTTAACCACTTGTGCAGCGAAGGCTACGTGTCCGTGTGTACACACTTACACACAATGCACGAATGCATGTAATCTACTGTAAATGCACGCACTTCTCACCAGCCCCCTTTGACGGTGGGTGCGTGTCCTACGTTTTGCTTAAATGATCAAGCTAAGTACTTCACTGACTTCAGTATCCCTTCAATCAAAACACGGTCCTACAAGGGTGTCCTCACCAGGCGCGAGCCGGCCCCACCTACGAGCAGAGAACAAAGGGGGAGGAGCGAAGAACGGCACCGGGGGCGCGAGGCCGGCGGCTGCCCGCGGCCGGCGGGGAGGGTGTGGACGGCCGCCGCGCTCACCCCGCGAACTTCAACGCCTGCGCGCAGTACCTTTAACCACCAGGTAGGCGATGGCCAGGAGGAAGGCGAG